TTCTTGATCTGAGTTCATTCGGATCTCCAGGCGGGAATGGATTGTTTCAAAAACCAACGGAGACTTAAACATGACTGAGAAGAGAAAGGTAAGATCAAGCAAGGCTGCATGAGAACATGCACAATAACCAATTTTCTTCGAGAACATTATTATATTTTTAATGAAAGTCTCAAAAGTGTTTGTGTTAGGTCCCCGTCACTCTGATGTCCCAAAATAAAATTGAGCACACTCGTCCGCGAGCGTCACAGAAAAGTCCACGTCCAGTATTCTAGCAGGTGTGGATTCAGTTGTCGTTGCAACAAAAAGGTAAACAGATGAAACCGAATAATTGCATGCAAATAGGATCTGTGTTGTTTTCTTTATGTAAACTTGAACTGAACATGTTGCCATGGTCACCACAGCATCTCCTTTATCCGGCTTCACGTGTTACCCGCCGCACGCTCTCATTATTAACTCCCACCGACTCCACACACACACACACACACACACACACACACACACACACACACACACACACACACACACACACACACACACACACACACACACACACACACACACACACACACGCAGCTGCTTCAACACACACAAAGAGCGGACGACAGGTGACGTTCAGGGGCCTCCGCACATGTGTTGATGCTGCGTGGCACCGGAGCCACGTGAACGCCACAGCGGAGACGAGTGAACCTGCAGCGGTTGCACAACTGTACCTGCTGTGTGATGTCCGAGGAGAATCACTCGGGAGATGAACACGCCATGAAGCGATCTGGGGTGGCGAGGGCTCGAGTGTCAAACCCGACACACGGTTCACACAAAAGAGGTCAGAAACACATATTTTTAATATTTTAATATTCAGAGCCAACCACGAGAATCAACTCGTTTCAAGTTTAAGCTCCGTTTCACACAAACCTAAAGGCCTCGGCTTGATGTCTGTCAGTGGAACTGGACCGCTTTATCGAGTTTGTTTCCTATTAGCAGCTTTAATAGGAAATCAAAGCTGCTCTTTTACATCGCGTTGCCTGACCAAGGCACATTAAAACAAACCTTCATCTGCGCTTTTTTCCTATTCTTCCTCTTTTTTTACTCCCTCCCTGAAGGATGAGTCCTTTTTTTTTTAGACATTGTTTTGCTTATTTATCTGCTGACAGGAGCTTTGGACGTTTGGATGCTCACTGCAGCTCATGATACCGACGAAGCATGCGGTACCTGCCGCGGCCACCAGGGGCCCCCCACGAGCAATTTATTTATATTTGTCAATAAAATAATAATTTCTACATACATTATCAAATATATATTATTGTAAAATCAAATCACTTCATAGTGAAATTGTGTGTCTTTGATATTATAATGACAGAAATTTTTACTAAAAAAACAAACAAACAAAAAGTAAAATAGGTCGGGGGGCCCCTAAGTGGCCCTGGGGCCCTAAGCAGCTGCTTAGTTTTCTTATACCTTGGGCAGGCCCTGCACCAGGCAGCTACATGAACCCATCCAAGAACCGAATGGACCCTTAGGACAAATCAACGTGAGGGACGTGTCAAAATGTCCTCCAAAGTGAAACAATCATTTTTGGACCTGAAGAGGAATAGATCATCAGAAAGGTGAGACTTTCCCACGCTTCTTACAAGCCTTGGAGCTGGAGCTATTTCAACAAGTAGTTGAATTTCAATTTATTTACCCATGGCTGACACAAAACCATTGGATAAAATCTGGTTTAAATGCCTCAGCAAGTGCAAGTCTCAGACAGCATCTTCTTTGAAATGTATATATTTTAAATTCCTATCAATACAAAGGGACTGGACGTTAGCCCTTCTCGGAGCACGTTCCTGTCTTTTTCCTGCAGCGCAACGGAAAGATAATTTTCCTTATTTTGATTCAATTCTGGCAGCATGGAGCACAATGAACTGCACTTTGCTCCTGACTCAGTCCAGCTCTGTGATCCATTCTGGAAGGTGGAGGGATTGTTTCCTATGATGAGTCTGGACTGTAAGTAGATTACCAGTGAGCTACTTATCAAATATAGAATGCATGAGTCACAACATCTGAATAGCGTGAACACGAAGGCTTTCTTTGCACCCTTTGTAATATTATTCATAGTTATCTAATCTGATTGGTATTTGCCTCATCAAAATAGCAAAACGTGTTTTCTATGATGTTTCGGGACATTTCTCTCACTCCTGATGAAAGCAGAAAATGTCCTTTGCTGTTCTTCTCCAGACCACTCGACACGACGGCTGAGAAATGATCCCTCGCTGAAATCTTATGCCCACACTGAAGACGCTCTGCTGCATTTTAATGTTAAGACTAAAGAAATTGTGCAACAGGGTTGAATGTTTGTGTAAGTCGCTGCAGGTAGTTTCATAGGGGGGGGGGTGAAAGAAAAAGAAAAGCAAACAAAAACACAACTTCACTATCATCAGACATCACTCAGATCTGCATATGAATTTCTGTTTGGGGGCATTTTGTTCAAACACTTATCAAACCACGCATAGACACCCCACCGGCAGAGAACATATAGGGCAAAACGGTGGTTTTACAACACGGCAGAGAATGACTCACGGGCGTTTTTGCAATCATTATGCAACTTTGCACTTATTAAACCTGCTGGGGAGGAGAGACCGGACAGAAAGGAGGGTCATGAAGAATATAAAAACTAACAATATGTAAGGTTTCTCCTGTCCCGACTACATAACTTCATGGCTTAATTGTGGTACATGTAATGTGTTTGACTGCTGGTTATGAAATATTGGGTTCAGAGCTTTATGTTTTAACAGCGTGTCCTATTTCTTACAGTCGAGCATGTTACTGAACCGTTCTTTATCTAAAGGTACAACGGGAGCAAGTGGAAAAATCAGATTTACATTATGAATAACAAAATGTTATGTTACAGAAGGACAAAAGATGTATGCGTTATAGTGTTTCTATGACTTGAGCAAATATGAGCGTTTGCTTGTTTAAGGCTGACCTGCAGAGTTTAGGGTCAGGGTTTGGGTTTGGGTTATGCTTGTGTAATTTGAAATGAAAAGCTTAAATTGAGAAACAAATGTCCATTAGCGACAATTCCCAAAACATTGATTCAAGCACTGAGAGATAAGCACCAGCCGTTCAATGATTTTATGAAATTTTTATGCCTTACAGCATGACATGCAAAGTCACATAACCAATGGAACGAGCTGATTGTAGGTCCAGTACTGCTGTGATTAAGCTATGCTAAACTACAACAAGGTCTATCAACCAATTCATCTCACAAGATGTCAAAATAAAGGAATAAATGTTAGTCTAAAAAATGACAGATTCTTCAATTTTTGAGTCATTCTTATGACAAGTAAATTAAAAAAAAAGTGGAGGACTTCTGTTAAAATCTAATGAGGGCATTTCAAAGAGGCTAAAAGGAGTTCTTGTAGTTAAAGATAAGATCTCTCAGTGTTCAAGGACACATGAGGAGTGAGGGTGAACACCACACTGGTGAACACATGTGGGGGTTTTTTACATCTAAAGAGATGTTTTTTTAAATGTTACCCACCCTAAAATGAAGTATTCTCCATCACTCTCCTTTGGACTGTCCGACCCTTTAGACCAGCGTTTCCCATCCCTGCTCCTCAAGGCGCATTGCTCTGCATGTTTCAGACGTTCCCCTGCTTCAGCACACCTGATTTTCAATTGTAGGCTGATCAACAGGCTTTGACCGAACAGCAGCCACCTGACTCAGGTGTGTTAAAGCTGGACAACACCCGAGAACCAGGGTTGGAAAACTCTGCTTCAGAGTCAAGGCTGAAGAATAAAGATATTTCTAGAAACTCTTTGACTGCACAGTCAGCTAAAACTAGAGTTTTGCATGTGCAAAGTTTAATATAAGAACGAACTCAGGACATCGTGTGTAGCCTGTTGTGGAAATGATTTCTAACTCTGGGAGGAATGGCAAATGTTTTACTTCACAGCAGATCACAAAAACTGGGCCACTGTACATATTCAGTGACAACTTTAGGCTATTTTGAGGAATTGGGACAAGTCCCTTATAAGGACTTTATATATAAAGGTTGTCTGATGTTCTGATTCTGTCTATTTAACCATCTGGACTCTTCAAAAATGGCTAATGGATAGAAGTTTAAAATTTATGGACTCTTTAAATATGTAGTCAAATCACAATGAGCAGATTATATTTACCAGTCAGATATTTTACAGCAGGCTGAAAATAACCCCAAAATTAAAATAATGTGGTAATTTAATCTATCTAGTTTGTGCAGCTGGTTTGGTTACACTTTGACCTCTTTTATGAGGTCAGTTTTTCTTTTGTCATTTATGATTTTTGTGTTAAAATAAAAACCCTATTTTTTCTAAATATATCCTGTGACTCCTCCTGTTTTAACTTGGTCCATCACAGTGCTGGACTGTAAAAAATTTAACTCTTAAATTAAATAATTTAACTGTGTTTTATAAACTGACAAATAATACATTCTCTTGGAAGCATTTATTTATTTATCTAAAGCATAAATGTAATACTCATTTATGCTTTACTTGGCATGTATTGAATTGTGGCATTTTTTGTACTCCACACATGGGTCACAACTTGATCAAGGGTCCTTGATCTTTTGATCTTTTTTTTTTAAGCCAGAACCACGATATGTGTTCAGCTTTTTCACAACAAAACAAGAACCGACGCCGCGCTTACATAAAACATTACATAAAACAACGAATCAGGCCCACAACCGGACTCAAGGGGCGAACTGTGTGACCCACAGACAAACACGACGCTTTCTCCTGGTTTGCCCAGGAGAAAGTCGGGCTGTGCGGTCACGCGTGGAACCTCTGCGCGACAAAATAACTGCGAACTTATTCTGCCAAACCCCAAAACAATCCATTCCCTGCTGTCAGCGAGAGGGTTATACAATATTATTAAGTTATATAAGTGAGCCACATAACGAGCCAATAGCAACGCTTCTCGCGCGTCACGTGGTGTCTCGCGCCTGCTTCGGCGAATTGTATATGAAATCCAAAGCAGCTTTAGCAGCCGGACACAGTCAGCGAGCGGACAAGATGTTTCTCCTCGGCGGAAGCTTTCCTCTAACTCGTGTTTTTTCGGTTTTTCGCCGGGAGCTATGATTACCGGAGTCGTGAACGGACAAGGATTTGGGAATATTGCGTGTGTAAGAGTTCGTTTGAGGAGTTCGGCGAGCGGTAAAGGAGCAGTCGGCGTTAGCTAATCTGTGTTAGCTAAAGCTTATATAAACCCGGCTGTAGCTAATGCTCATTGAAGTCGAACTGATTTTGCTCAGGTAATTCAATTATCGGACATGAGTTTGATACCCAAATATTAGTATAAGTTACTAATAAAATAAGTTTTTTTTCCACCCCTGTTCAGCTTAAAGGATTTAGTATTGGTGTAACGGAACACCTCTGGGGCAGTTAAATGCCCCTTAAAAGTGCCATTTTTCTATTTTGTTTTTACTCGTCTCCTATGATTTAGTAGTGGGTAGCAGATTGACATGGAGTGGTTGAAGATTGCATTTTCTGTGAAACCTTTTAGATAAACTCTGATTCATCGTCATATGTTGGGGTGGGGGTTGGATTTTATTCTTTTATGTCACATAGTTTGGAAAAAGCCTCAGTCTTGTTCCAATGGCCGCGGTTGGGAGGCAGTCAGAGCGCTGGTCTGTTTTAGGATCAAAACTTTCAAATGAACATTTTGGAAACGAGGTGAAATATAACAGCAGAGAACTTTATCTGCGCTGGTCAGACCAACATTGAGCCTCCGATAATATACATTTAAGTCACTGTGAAGAGAGAAGATGGAGACGGGGGTTCTGCCTCACCAGGGCGACCTGCTCCTCCACCCGCTCTCCTGCCCTGGAGCCGCGGGGCTCTGCCCCGAAATGCTCGAGGTGGCCGAGGAGGCCAGCCGGGCCGGGGACTTCAACCTGGCCGTAGAGATCTACAGCTCCCAGCTCGCAGACCTCCAGCAGCCGGACCGGGGCTTGTGTCTGCGGAAGGGCGACTCTCTGGCCCGCGCCGGGCGGATTTCGGAAGCGCTGGAGGCGTACTGCACCGCGGCCAGCCTGGGCAAGCTGCGCCCGGAGGAGCTGCCCGTCCTGGTGGACTCCGTCGCCCGGACGCTCCGCGGGAAGGAGCTGGGCCTTCCCGTGACCCTGACCGGCCAGACGAAAAAAAGCGACGGCGGACAGGACGGGGCTCGCAACGACGGGGAGTGCGAAGACGACGAAGCCCTGGATTTGTTTTCCTGCCGCCTCTGCAAGTGTCTGCTGCAAGAGCCCGCAACTCTGGAGTGCGGGCACACTTTCTGTAAGCGATGCGTGGAGGACGACGCCGTCAAACATTGCGTGAGCTGCAAACAGAAACCGAGCAAAAGCGACCGGAGAGTTAACGTGGTTCTCAGCGGACTGCTGGACAAACTGTTTGAATCTGAGAGCAAAGCCAGGAAGATGTGGATCGAGGGGGAAGTTCTGTGGCGTAAACAGAACCTGGCGGAGGCTTTGGAGCGATATAACGCAGCAGTAGATCTAGGTAAGTGTGTGTAACTTTTTTGTTTTGTTTTGTTGCATGTATACCTTTTAATAAAAGCTGAAGTGACCTACTTTTAGTGCAACTACCTCGTGTCAACGATAGTCGGCGCCCTTCTGCTGTGACTTTATTTTTGGTTCCGAGAGACAAAAAAGTCAGCCTCACTGCTCTCTAGCAGGAGTGTTTCACAAGCTGTTGGATAACAGCTTTCATAACATGGAAATGCTGCACCTTCTTATTGAAATAACCTTACAAATATAATCTGTCTGCTGTTCATTTTCAGCATTGTTGTTGTGCTGTTGCTTTTTTAAATAATTTGTAATGCTGCTGAGCCAAAATGCAGAATGTTCTCCTATGTTCTGGCATTATATAAAGAGTGCCAGCACGCCTCAGTAGCCACAGGCCCGGGCGGGGCTCACGTTGCACAATTTGAATTGCCAGAAAAAAATCTGAGCTGAGACCCTCCCCACATCTGGCCTATATATTTATGTTTAAAATTATTGATTTTTTTTTTTTCCAAACAGTTTTCCCTTTTGGTGCCTGGAGTTGAATCCCAAAATGAATGTCTTCCAGCGCTCTGTTGGCACTACTGTAGATATTTTCCTCTCTGTGTCAATATTGATTCATGCCTTCTGTGTTGTGAAGACCTCTGGGTGACAGAAGGATGGAGTGCATTCACAGTGTTGTCACTGCCAGCTTCTGTTTTCCTAATACAGACAGCAGGAGGCCTTCTGCTGTCTCATACAGCATGGGTGTAACTGTGCCATAAATAAAAATGCATCTTTTGCCTAAAGTATTCCTTTTATTTAGGCTATTTAGGTGTATTATAAGCCTGGCAGGCCACCAGGCTTCTCTTGTGCCTCCACCAGGCTAAGCATGGCTTAGGTCTTTTTAAAATGTTTGCATATTTCAAGACTTTATAGTTGGTGTTATTCTTCAAACCTTTCATTAACACAATTATCAGGTGATATTTTCAAAAAGTTTTCTGGGGGGAAACCTTGCGATACAGTCCTTGTCTCTCTTCCCGTTTTCTGTTTAGTAATAAAGATCAATTTGGCCTTAAAAATCTTAAAAAGAGATTGTACAGAAGAAGATGGCTTTCTGTTTCTACATTATTCTTTTTCAACCCTTCTTACCATGTTTACAGATTGTTTTATATTTCCGTCGTCCTGTTGCGCTTGCTTCTCTTTAAATAATGCCCTTTGAACCTGTGACTGCCTCAGTGAGTCAGCAGCTTGTAGTCCAAGACGTCAGACCTCTTGTAATAAAGGACTTCTGAGGTGTAATTTTATCCCAAGCATCGCTATTAAGAAGCTTCAGGTCTTCTCTTTAGTCTATGTAGCATTAAAAAAAATTTGATTGCAATTTTATCCATAAAAAGTGATGCTTGTGCAAACAGGAAATGGACTTCCCCCTGAAGAACGTGATAATGTAATGTACTCTGAGTCATAGATAAGGATTTATCACTTAGAAGGGGTGAGCACATCCATTTGTTAGTGATCATAGAAAGAATTTATGGCTTAAAAAAAAAGTAAATGAATCCTTGTTCCTGGTGCTAATAAAATTCTAGCTGTATCAACATGGGTTTTATTTTTAGAAGCGAAGTCCATTGTGTCGTCGCCGCATTGTCCCGTGGAGGCGTTGTGAGAGCAGCCCACAAATCGCTGCTATGTCAAGGAAACCTTAAAGTGCTGTACTGTTGATAAAAAGGAATCACTCAGTAGAACAACAAGCACACCAAACTGAACTTGAAATGCTGGCAAGATAAAGTTTGTTTTTTACACCACCAATGTGCCGCTGGATTCTGCTGACCTGTGCCATCTGATCATTGAACTCGACACCGAATGGGTCACAATTGTAACGCGATGCGTTCCACTCCCAGCAGCTCTTGGCTGAATATCTAGGTTACTCTAGAGTCCATGATTTGTTTCCAGTGGCCGCCATCTTATGCTGGCATCGGCTGTTGGAGAGTAATTGGTTTAAGCCTAAAATTGGAGCCATTTGAGCATCCAGATGGCAGGGATGTAGATATTTTAGTTCGGGTATCAATATTGATTCATTCCTTCTGTCTGCTTTGGGTGACAGAAGGAAGCTTTGCCACCTTAAGCCTCTGTTTCCCCGGTACAGGCAGCAGGAGGCCTTTCGGTGTCACGTGTAGTATGGGTGGAACTGTCATAAATACTAATACAGATCTTACCCAAGGGTAAAAATGATTGTTTTATACTTCGTATAATTGATGAGATGCGAAAACAGCTTTTTAATGTAGGCTGAGTTCCATAAAAAGGGATAATTTAATCACTAAAATAATGTTGTACAATTATTTTTGGGAAATTGTGACTATTTTGTTTCCATCCAATGGATAATAACAAAAGGATGTGTTCAGCAGTTTCCCGTTAGTCAGATTTTTTTTTTTTTTTTATGAAGAAAATAAATGTGTTTTAGACGTGCCAACGTTTGACTGAATAATGAGTTTACAAATCTATGTATAAAAATAAATTGGAACAAAATAACACACCTCGGCATATCACTACACTTAGTTTCCTAATTCTAGGATCTAATTTGACATACTCTTCAGTATAAAATTATTTGTAAGGCTCGGAATATTTTGATTAAAAAATTTTTTTATTCAGACGATAAGTTTGTTGCAGATTTTATCTTCAGTTCCCTCCAAAAAGATTCTCAGAATTTCGGCTAGGTCGCTCCAAAGTACGATTAAAAGTATTTTGGAGCCTAAATGTACAGCACAAAAATACTCTGCTTATTTTCTTCACTTTCTGATGCTGAATTAGACTAACCTTTTCCTGTTAGGATGGGAAGAATTATTTCTATTTGCTAAATGCAAGAGTCGTTAGAGATTCCTCTTACTACCTTGTGGAAAGTCAGACGTATACTAGGATTATGATGCATTTCGATTATATTGGACAGAATCTAAGAAAATGTGGTGAAAAAAACCCCAAAAAACTATTCAGCTATTACACTTCTATTGTAGGGGTTTTGCTGTACGAGGGACTGGTGCGCTTCACATAATGAACACCTTCATGAGGAAAGTATGACACAGGAATATTGAAGCGACATCTTAAGACGTCAGATGGAAAGCTAAACGCTGAGCAGGTTAGCTAATTGGCTACAAAATGACCAATACAAGAAAAACAAGTCAGCGCTTTAGAGAGGCCTCTAAAGCTTTGACCTTTGTCCCAAATTCATTGGCAGAGATAAAATAAGGTTTTTGAGTACAAGGCGGCCTCCAAGCCCGACTCACTCACACCAGTTGTGTTTGGGGGGGAGGGACGGGCAAAAATTCCTGGAAATTGAGATGTTTGTCAAAGAATATCCAAACCATTGACACGAGTCGTACAGTTCAAACTAGGGCAACTGAATGACTCTTAACACTTTGAAGGAAGCGTTTATGCACACCGGTATACAGCCTCTCTGCTTTCAGCTGGATACAAGAGGAAGTACAGTCGGCACGTATCAATCAGATGTTGTTTGTTGTTCCAAAACGTGTGCAGCCACTTTTTATTTGGGACACGTAAATTCTTCCATCTGCAGACGTCATAAACTAATTCAGCAGAGTCATGACAGGCCGAGCCAGTTGTTTGCCAGCTATTCTGGTTTTAGAAGAACCTGTGTCAGTCCTGCGTCTGAGCACAGATGGTTCACAACACAATCTGTTCACATTTGTGACAGATGAATTCAGCTCTTAAAGCGGTACCATAATCTGTTTGATCCTACATAATAGGTTGATTTTATTCCGTCAATTTCAGGCAAACGTTATTTACTTTGACTCAGATATTGTAATGGTCTGTACACAATGTCCCAAGCTGGTGACGCGCCACTTTGTTGCTTTATTGCCTCACTTGTCTGACCTAGAAAAAAGGTTGATCCCATAGAAGACTGTCTGACCTTGCTCTGTGTTTTGTTCTTTCACTCCTGCGTCTACAGCGCCCTCTTCAGGCAACCTGCTATATCAACGGGCTGAACTGCACATGGAGATGAGGAACTTCAACCAGGCGGTGGAGGATGCTAACAGTCTGTGCAGGATAAAGCCGCTATGGACAAAGGTGAGTTTCCGTTTTGTAATGAATGTAGATGACACAGTTGGATGTATGAAGAGCTTTTTTCTCCAGGTGTGGAAAAGTATGAAAAGTTGCATTTTAATTTGGAAAAATGTTTGTTTTTGACACTGATTTTAAATTGTATTTATTCCAGCAAATTTGCTGCTAGACTTGTATATTTTTTAAACTAGAGTCAATATCCTTCAGATTTCATTAAGTTCTGTCAGGTCTCAAAGAAAAGACTAGATTTTAAATTTTATAAAAATGAAATCAATATTTTTGATTTAACTTTTATAATTTTATAAAAGTGAGGTATCAATAGTCCAAAACCTGAGCCTTAAACATGAGATGCAGCGAATGGCTGACACATATTCAGGCTTTGAGGTCTCACCTGCCAATTCTGGTTAAATGGTATTTGTACATCAAAGATATACAAATACATTAAAAGATGCAAATACACAAATAATTTTGTTTCCTTTGTTAAATAAAATGAAAATTTTACTGCCTAATGCAGTACAGTTGCATTCCTAAACCTGTACCACTTGATGAGTTTTGACTAAGACACATTTGCAGACAAACGTGTTTTATTTTTTTAAATCTTAAACACATGTTTTTGACAGTTTGGGTTGAATTACTGCTCTGAATGTGGAGGCTTTTTTTCACCAAATTGCCTTTTTTGAGTCTGTGTACAGCCAGCAATTAACCAATTACTAAATTGATGATTATTTTCGTAATCGATTAATCATGAATAATTTTTTTGGTTCGTCCAAATGCCTGGAACTTTACACCTTTCACATTAATTGTAATGTCAAACAGTTTTTATTTTTTCAAATATATGCCTTGTATGGACTAGCTTATAAATCCACATAAGGCATTTATATACTAGTTAGCAAACGCAGTAGGTTTGGTGAAGTTAGGTTAGTCAGCCTTTGATTGTTTGAAATAATGAGTTTGGTGGGAACGCAGTGTTGAAGTTGCTGAATTTTTCTTGCGCGTTTCAGGCTCACTGCCTCAAAGCCACGGCGCTGAGTAAAGCCGACCGAAACGACGAGGCCTTGCAGGAATACCTCCTTTGTCTGGCGCTGAAACCGGACTGGACCAAAGTGAAGCTTGAGGCTCAGAAGGTCAGACAAACAACTCAATGGCAACAAAGCAGCTGGTCGCCGTTCCATCTCATCCCACATAACCGATTGAGCCGCTCCGGTTTTGTTTGCAGGTGCTCAGCGCGGCGTTCTCCTCCGTGTTCGAGAACGAGGACATGCCCACGCCGCCTCACCCCCTGCAGGGCGGGCTGGCCACACGCCTGATCAAACCCCCCGCCCTGCTCCAGTCGCTGAGGCCGCTGACACAGAAACCGGGCTGCTCCTCGCAGGTTAACGCACACACAGTGCAGCCGTCGACACGATTCTGTTTCTTTTAAAATCCCGCACATCTACGTCTGTTTGACACGAGGACACTTAAACTCACTCTGCAGCTTCTCATTCTGTCTCATTTGCAGGATTCAGAGTTCAACGTAGCAAAAAGCTCCCCTGTGGACGGACCATCTTCCGAACTTTCTCCCATGTCTCCCGCTAAGTCAGACGTGCCTTCCCCTGTGGCTGCAGGGGAAGGCAGCTCCAAAAGTCTGGCCAACGTTCTGGCTTCACTGCCGGCGCCCCACGGTGGCATGAAAAGGAAGCACAGTGGTGACGGAGCCGCCGCACCGTTCAAACCTCCGTCCAAACTCTCCAAACCTGGTAGGAGAAAATCCCATGGCAACCTGATGTCTGTCACCATAACAAGTTTTACTGGGCGATAAATTGTCTTATTATTGTTGATAAATGATAATGTTTTGAGACTAATTTCAAGTGATATATTAATGTTAGTTCATCCTCTAAAAAGACCAGTGCATATTAATTTAGTAAAGAAAGCTTAATTCTGGAATGGGAAGATATTTAAAACATTCAAAATAAATCATAACAACCAAAAAAGAGGAAAAAAATAAATAAATACACAACCAAAACCATAAATAAAATGAATCAACAAAACTGCCCTCCAAAAAATATTAACTATGAGGAGGAAAATTATTATTTGATTAATTTCTTATTGTGACATTTTCAACCTGATGCAGCATCATTTTACACACACATTCTGCTTCATAAGGATGGGATTTATTTAGAAGTTTTTAATAAAATAACTAAATAATTCAACTAATAAGTATTTATTAGGTGTTTTTATTAATGCCGTCCAGTTTGGTCATCTCAAGGTGCAAAGAAGCCCCTCCCCCCAAAACAGAGATACTGTTATGTCGGAGCGCCCTCTTGTGGCTTCTTTTATGAACTCCATTCATTGGATCTTCAGATAAAACATGCTGCATTTTGCGGCTTGGAAATGCCGTGTTTCCTTTTGTCAGATCCAGCATTTTGAGCTTGAATGTGAATAAGTGGAGAAAACGCTTCACATTTTAGAGAACCAAGCAGGAGCACTGCTATGAAAAACTGTTGCACATGCATTACGGAGCACTAAATCACCAGAGGACATACTGTCTTTAAAAAAACATTATTTTTGTTTTTCTCCAGATGATGTAAAGGCGTTTCAGACGGCTTCAGTTTGTGGAGGCAGAGTGGTTCCTGTTGATTTGCTGGACAGTGGAGACCTGGAGTGTTCACTCTGCATGAGGTTAATGTAGTTTATTTTTCATCATATGCTGCAAATTTAACAAAGAGATGCAAAGATTGTATAGCTTCAAACAGGCAAATAGAGTGGACAGTGTTGCCAGTTGAAGGCTAACTGCTTTTTTTTTTTTGCTTTTTCTCTGCATTGTGCTGCAGATTGTTCTACGAGCCTGTGGCTACTCCCTGTGGTCACACCTTCTGCCTCAAATGTCTGGAGCGCTGCTTGGACCACAACCCCAACTGTCCTTTGTGCAAGGAGAATCTGTCTGAGGTACACAGCTGAGCTACGCTGCAGAGAGCTGAATGAAAAACTGGCAGTAGCTACAGACGCTAGTTCAGCTACGGACGCTAGTTCAGCTACGGACGCTAGTTCAGCTACGGGTGGTTCTGTGCAGCTTGGAAAAATTTGTAATTTTGAAAAAACCCTGTCTTTCCAGAACTAATTTTTTCTTTCTTTCACTGTGTTTTTTTTTTATTTTTTTATTTTTTTTGCTCTTTGTGTCTTTCTTTTCTCCTCCTTTGTTTTTCCCTCTTTCTTTATTTTGCTATTTTTTTGCTAACTCTGTTTTTCACTCATTTTTTCTTTCACTTTTTTCACTCTCAGTCTTTTGCTTTTTTCTTTCGCTCTTTTTTGCCTTTCCTAACTTTTTCTCTTTTTTCTTCTTTCCATCGTTTTTCTTTCAATTCGTTTTGTCATTTTACTCTTTTTTTTTTCTTTTGTTCTTTTTTTCCACTCTTGCTTATTTGTCATTTCTTTCCTTTTCTGCTTCTTTTTTCTCTTTCCCTCTTTCTACTTTCTCTTCACTTTATTGTATTTTTTTCTCTTTTTTTCTTCCTTCTCACTCATACATCTCTAGTGAACCTCAATATTTTGTATTTGAAAACCTTTGCAGCCATCTTGTTTAAGGACTAAAGAATGAAACTATGATCTTGGTATGGAAGGAGTAACATGTTCTATGTGTTCTGTTACAGTTTCTCGCTAGCAGAGGTTACAATAAGACCTTTCTGATGGAGGAAGTCCTACAGCGTTACCTTGGAGACGAGCTGGCAGAGCGGAAGAAAATCCATGAGGAGGAAATGAAGGAGCTGTCCAAGTTAGTTTTCCACAAATCACAAATTCTTGAAAGTGTTAAAGGGTTTATATGTGTAGTTAATTCGATATCAGAACAGCGGTTCTGATATTGATATTGATCTAAGCATTGCATCCTGGCAACCAAAGCACACACTATAGGTTGGAAACTTTCCAGTTAGTAAACAATATTCGTCCTGCCAGAAATTACAAAGGAAGAATATTAGAAACTTTTTCTTCATTTTGTTTTTTGAGCTACATGAGCTCCCTAAAAATAAACATCCATAGTTGCTGATTCTCTGCAATGTGCTTTGGTTTTAAATGGAGCTTTTGCAAAATTTTTAAACTTTGGGACTAAAAACAAAAACCTGCATTTAGTGGTAATTATCATTTCTTGTCTCTGTGTTTTGCAGTTTGAACCAGGAAGTGCCCATCTTCGTGTGCACCATGGCCTTCCCCACCATCCCCTGCCCGCTTCACGTCTTTGAGCCGCGCTACCGCCTCATGATTCGCCGCTCCATGGAGACGGGCACCAAGCAGTTCGGCATGTGCATCGCCGACGAGCTCAGAGGCTTTGCCAACTACGGCTGCATGCTGGAGGTTGGTGGCCAGCTTCTCCAGAAAAATCCACCTTCAAAGTTCTATTCACTTCGCAGATTCTCCTCATACTTCAGACTTGATTGATTGGATTATTTTGCAGGTGCGTGATGTCAAGTTCTTTCCCGACGGCCGCTCGGTGGTCGACACTATCGGAGTTTCTCGGTTCAAGGTCCTCAGCCACGGACAGAGAGACGGCTACCACACCGCTAAGATAGAGTACCTGGAGGACAGGAAGGTGAGCTCTCTGATCATTTCTGGAGTAGTTCTGATCTCACACTTCGAAGTCTCAATAGAAGCTTTTCTTTAAGTCGAGAAAACTCGCCCCGTCGCCTTTATAGATGACCTGTAGATCGGTTTACATTTAAATAAATCCACAATTGTATTTGATCAGTAATTGTCTTCTGTCGTTCTGAATGAAAATAAAAAACTGTCTTCATAATCAGGTTGAGGGGGAGGAGATGGTGGAGCTCCTGAAGCTGCACGACTCTGTGTACGATCAGGCCAACAACTGGTTCACGTCGCTGAAGGACAACATGAAGAGTCAGATCCTCAGCCACTTTGGACATCTTCCCAGTAAAGATCCAGACCCACAGGTTGGGAAAACCTTCTAATTATGCCTTTTCCACTCAAACAAAGCTGCATGTTACCTGCTTTAATGCACTACACTGCAAAAACACAAGGCCTTAGCAAGTCATTTTGGTCTAGTTTCTGGTACAAACGCTTAAACGACCAAACTAGCTTTAAAGTAGCCGACTCAGTGTTTCACTGATCAAAAAATAAAACTCTGCTTGATATGTTGGAATGCAAACTATTCTTCTCAGATTTTTTTGGATTATTTCAAAAATAGAAAAACATGCCTCCATTTTATTTTATACACTTAGGCACTACTTTTTGATTGAAACCTCCCCAAAAATGCATAATAAAAATTAAAGGGGTTTGAATACTTCTGCTCATACCACATACTTGTTGAGAACTGAGGTATTTAATAAACAGGCACCAATTCAATATAAGTATATTGGACCAATATTCTTTTTCAATATCGCTTTCGATATTGAAAAAATTCTAGATTAGATATTGGTGACAAAGTGCCTGATCCATAAGAGTAGATCTAGTCAGTCTAATTCTACGCTTTGTGCTCTGGGCGACATCATGCTTAATTATTAATTTGACAGTACATTAAGAATTCCTGATTGCACTTTCTGAAACATTTGAAAGGTTTGCTACAGTCAGTCTTCAGTATCGAATCGGCCGATGCTGAACCTCCAATATCGGAAGCGGATCGGCGCGTCCCCAGCATTTAACGGTGTCTGTGTTTGGTTTTGTTCCCCTTGCAGGCGGTTCCTGAAGGCCCGGCCTGGTGCTGGTGGCTCCTGGCCGTCCTTCCCCTGGAGAACCGAGCCCAGCTCACCATACTGGCCATGAACTCCCTCAAGGACCGCCTCATCGCCATCCGAAGGGTCCTCATCTTCGTCACCCGCAAGAGGCCGCGGTGATTCAGCCTCGTTTCGACCAGCTCGGGTGTCTATGCAGTTCAGAAGCCTGATTTCCCTTGCCGCCGTTTGACTCCACCCGTTTACTTTTCGGTTTGCTCCTTTTCGCCCCGTGTCGGTCCGCTCTGAGATGTTGATGAACATGTAGCCCTTCAGAGCACGTCTTTCTGCAGATGGCATCAGGTTGGTCGTGGGGGAAAAAACAAAACAAAACAGAACTTGAGTCATCATCACATCATTTTGTAAAGATGTGCCAGACTTTTTCATTGAAGGAACAACTTGCAGAAACATCGAAAGCAAAGCAGCTTCAGGATGAATAACAATTCCCCTCCTGTCACACACTAAGCAGTATTCACCGGAGAGGGGAACGGGAGATGGCCCACTACAGAAATCTGCTGAAAAATTATGCAAAAACAAAAGGTTTTTTTGCATAGCGACATATATAATGAATGTACTGAATGTTTTCTTCCTTTTTTGTTTCTCCTCCCCTCCCTTGCCTTACTAACTTTACCGAAATATGTTCAACAAATTTCCTTGTAGAAGAACTAGCAAATGCTGCCTCACTTTAAGTATTCCTGACCGAGCCAAAACCAGGCCAGGTGTTTGGCGTGTAGCTGAGGACGATGTCATAACGACAGACGCACCGAGCCAAATTTTGTTGCCAATTTCCACTTTTGGTAAAACTTCTTATTCTGTTTTTACAGACTCTGACATAGAACTAACAGCGTTAAAATGATATGTGATCGGGAAGCAGCGTTACACTGTGAGTGTGTGTGCGCACGCATGTGTGTGTAAGAGAAAGTGTGCACAGTTGCCTGGAAACAGAATTTCCAAAATGGATTCCAAATCCCACTTGTTTCAAGTCAGAGGGCAAAAGCTCTGAATAACAAAACTAAGGATGCACCGATCACGATTTTGGCCAGTACCAATTTTTTTTTTTTTTTTTTTAATTGAACTGATGCTGTCAGGTGTTATGAGGTCACAATACGCCTTTCAGTGCTCCAATTTTATTGAAAACCATTGAACCAAAGACAATACTGTCGTGGAATCTTCAGTTCACTATTAAATATTTTCTGACAATTTTGACTTAATTTTATTTTTGTTTTTTCAAATGTCTTTTTTTTACTTTACTGCAATCTACTTGAGACTTCTTCCCTCTGTGACAACGTCCACACCAAAGAGCATTGACGGTAGTGCTACCTGGTATGTTGGGCTTTATGCAAGGTGCGTTCAGAGATCGGGACAAAAAAAAAAAAAAACAGATTTCTGAGTTTTCTACCAACCAGGACCAATAAGATAAAAAAATGTAATAAAATTCAGCAATTCCTCGGTGCGTCTCTTGTCATGGCAGCTGTCGTGGGCGAGGACGTGATTCAGCGCAACCTTTCGACTACAGCGTGCAAACGCGTGTTTAATCCTGGCTTGGACGGATCCAAGAACTTGCGTTGCGCAAACTCTGGTCACAGTAACGGAAAGACTGATAGAAACTCATCCAGATGTTGCCGAAGTGGCACATGGTGTCCTATTGTAGCAGACCGCCGGGACAGAACAGACGTAGTTTTAGGTTGTCCATGCACTCTTCTGTTTGTGTCTCTCTGCTCTGCCTGTAGCTGGGTGTCAGTGTGTATAATTTGGGTGAATTATATGTATCAGTGTAATTCAGAGGCCTTTTTTAATGTCTTCAAGGAACAACTTCATCTTCTTTCTCTTTCACTGTCTGTAATATTAACTTGCACACAATAATAATGCAATTCCCGCCCCATGGGGGTTTCCTTATAAACAGTAAGACATATTTAAGCAACCTTGAAAACTTTTTTATTATTATTATTTATAATTCTGCATCATTTAATTTTTTTTGCTTCTTCAGACATTTGCTTTGAAAAATAAACCCCAAAACACCATTTATGGCCAACTTCTACCTTAGTTTTTTTTTTTTTATGTGAACCTAAAATGCATCTTTTTTTATTAAGCAGTCGTGCAATTTCCACAGAATCTTACACATTGATGAAAACAACAACGAAAAGCATAACGATTCAGTTCAAAGTAAAGCTGCGGAGAGCTTTTTGCAAAATACATTTAAAAAATCAAGTCAGCGCCTTAATTTGAACTGATTTTGTAAAGTCACTCTCCGGAAAAAAAAAAAAAGCCCGTATGTATGCAGAATGGGGTCCAAGATGAATGTGAGCGGGGGACGTTTCAATAACAGTTTGCGTGACATTTCTGTGGATGGCAACATGTGGACATGCTCGTCTTGAGCAACATATTTACTCGTGAATACAAGGGGGCTCCTGGCCTACGTAAGCACTATGGCGTTGAATAGCAGACCAGTGAGGAAACCGATCAGGTGGCACGTGCCCACGCTGATCCATCTCGCGAGGCGGTTGCATTATTCTTGTGCATTTTTTCTCTACGTTATTCTGTTCCTTCGAGAAGCTTGAGGCTCCTGCGGTTTTCACAGCGTGCTGTGACTCTCCAGTATATTTGTAAAGGGCGCTCTTGTACCTATTTTTATTTCAAATAAAAAGAAACTCATCACATCTTGCGTTTGTGGTTATTTCATTTACAAATGCCGTCATAAAGAGAGCGTTTTTTTTTTTCCGGACCCTTTTCCCCGGCAGCTCCTTGGATGTTAGCTCCTGAGAAGAATTCAGAAAGTGTAGAAATATTGTTTCTGGATCAAATTCTCCCGAGAGCTTCATGGTAAACGAGCGCTGACCTGATCCGCACTGCCAGGCCGTTGCTAGATGATTGCTAGAACTTACTTCCGCTTAGAATTGACTTCCGCTACGCTTGTTCCGGTCTTCCACGCGAGAGGGCAGTGTTTGCTAACTTGTGCCGCGAACTGAGTGGACGGTGAGTTCTTTGGAGCAGTGGTCACTGCTGTTTAATTAGAGAAAATCAAAATACCTTTTTTTTATTTTTCATAAAGAAATTAAATGTTCTAAATCTGGAAAAAGGTTACAAAGCTTTGAAGCTAACTTTCAAATGCTAACAGGAACAGAATTGCCTGAGCTAGTCTGAGCCAACTGACAAATTAGCCGAGGGTGAGTTTATAGGTCTGGAGAGCACTCTGTAATTGAGACGTCTGTCCAGCCTGAAATTCTAACCATATTCCAACTAATGATGGCACATAAAAGCAGTAAGCTGCACCCAGTGTCTTTATACCATAGTTGCATCTCAAGGGCCTCACCCAAACAAGCAGCAAGATCCTTTTTTTGTCTCCACACACAACCCAAAGATAGTTCATTTTGACAACAAAACTGGCCAAAATACCTCCATAGCACTGTAAATAAATAAATAAAAACTCACCAGAAGTTGTCACAAATGCTTGACTGTTAACTTTTCTTTTCTCCGATAAGGATAAGCATAATTTAAAAACTGCCTTTCGCATTTACTTGTGTTGTATGTGACTGATGTATAAAAAAATGGTTTTATAGTCTGTAAAATGTAAGTGGGAAAAACATGCAAAAAAAAAAAAAAAAAACAGGACAACACATTTTCCACTCCATTGTAGATTTATCCAAGTGAAAATGCTTTATGTCAGCAGCATCACTGCGGCAGCTGAAACATCTGTCTTGGCGAGACGGGTCTACATTTAGTTCTGTGTTTTTAACCAGCACTACTTCTGCAATTTGACTGCAATAACATTTTATCCGGCTGGGAAAAATGTCTCGTTTTCTTCTTCTTTCAGTGACGTGGGTGTGGGAAAGTAGAAGAGTTAGTCACTGCACAGAACACAACACATCCAGCAGCCTGTCCATAAAACTAACAACGTGAATATTGTTCTGCAACAAATAAACAACTTGTTTTTTGGGAGCAGCGACGGTTGTAAAATGTAACAGCTCGTGGGAGAAAGGATCTGCCGTGGCGGCCCTTTGTGCACCTGGGACGCGACATCCAAAACAGGCAGCGGCGCAGCTTTATTTATCTTCCTTCTCAACATGAGATAAAGCATTTCCTGTCAGGTGTAAAAAGAAAATGTGTGAAAGTGTTGCTATGTACAGATGGGTTTAAAATAATAGCAGGCCGACATCAACAACCAAAGGTTTTGGTAGAAACTAAAGGTTGGTCATGGGAAATAATAACTGTAGAGTAAGAGAAAGCCGTTGTTGTTGTTATCATTATTAACATTATTATTATTATTATTATCAATGTAAAATTAAAAATGTAACAACAATAATAATAGTAATAATAACAGTTTTTGATATGGATCATTTAAAGGTGATATGAATGAATCTACGGTAGCCGCAGAGCCCCCAAATCAAACTGTGCTCCGGCTCCCAGACATTTTTGGCTCGGCTCTGGCAGAGAGCTCATTCTCCGTCTCTCTATCTCTCTCTCGGTCTCTGGGCTTCCACAAGGCTACGCTGTCCCTGTGTGGGGCGGCGATGGAAGACAGAGGGACAGAGAGACTTATGGACCGAGTGGGAGGGAGGGAGGGCGGAGAATCCCGATAGAGAGACCTGCACACAGACAGAGAGAGAGAGAGAGAGAGCGCAGGACAGGCAGGACTCGGAGTCCGGCAGGCCGTCAGCAGCGCAGGCTCCACGGTCGGTATGTAGCAGCGGAGGGAGCTGTCTGTCTGTCTGGGACTACAGGAGCAGAGGGAAACGCTGTGAGCAGACCCAAAACGGCCGTGGGATTTAACACGAAAATGAGACGCAATTCGTCCACTTGAAGGAGACCGAAAACGCGCCGTCGCTCCTCTGATTTATCACCGCTTCTTTTCTTCTTTTCTGCGAAAATGGCGAACGACTCTCCGGCTAAGAGCCTGGTGGACATAGACCTGGCATCACTGAGGGTGAGTTCGTCCTGGCTGCACCTTTCCTCGCAGTCGTTGTGTGTTTTTTTTTTAATGAGGGAGATGAGCGCGCTGCGCCGCGGTGACACAGCCCCGCGGTGGCTTTTCTTTGTCTTAATATCCGCTGGCAGGAGAGGCGAGCCGGGCGCTGCCGGCTTGACACACCAAACAAACCCGAACGCAATTACCAGCACGAGATCAATTAAACGCGCCTCTCTTTATGTGTGTTTTATGTCCAGGATCCAGCTGGGATTTTCGAGTTGGTGGAAGTGGTGGGAAATGGCACCTATGGACAAGTGTATAAGGTTGGTGAAAACCTCCATCAGTGTGTGTGTGTGTGTGTGTGTGTGTGTGTGTGTGTGTGTGTGTCACAGTGATTCAGCTGAGAACAAACCGGCGGAAACTGAAGCACAAACATGCAGCGATGTATTTTTTCCTCTCTCAGTCTCAGGAAAACGTTTATTATAGCCCACCATGCCCCTCCCCGCCCGCTCGCTGCTTCCTCTGGGACCGGAGCGGTCTGGCCTGGATTATCTCTCTGATAGCGTTTTTGGCCTCTCAGCTGCTTCTCTTCCAGCCCGTATTATTTGATGCATTCAGCGATGCAGACAGTTAAGAGAAATGCACACTATTTAGTATATTTTTATTCCATTAGGAGTTCCTCATCCACCCGCCCCTCCTGCCCCTCTCGCTGCTCCTCTCATCCACGCCCCAGTTAAATATCCCCTCCACAGGCCATGCTTGGAGCTGGGCTGATCGGGCCAACCCCATCCGTGCAATGACAGGCCTTTACCACGCTGACCGACTTGTGCGCCATTGGGTGGGCGGTGTTTCATTGCGCATTTGTGCACACCATTGCCCAGCAGGCCATTCGCTGGAGTGGCTCTGCGCTGCATTAACGGGGATGTAGGCCTGCACATCCACTCACATCCATGTAGCAGAGAAGGCATGCGATGGGGGGAACCTGGTGCTCCTGCATCCCAGATCCCCATCAGGGAGGAGCAGCATCAGGATTCTATGGTCGGCTGATAGAAATGAGGGGAAAGAAGTCAGATCTGACTGAGTTTCTGTTGATTATAAAGGCCTGTTGGAGAGCTGGTTGCTTAAAGAAATCTGCTGTACTCTTCTGAATGCAGTTGAGTGATTTCTGTGTTTTATTTAACAATAATAGCTACAGAGGGACTGTCTAGTTTTTTGAAATATCGGGAAAGATGTCAAGAGATTATACCTACAGCATTCACAAAAAACAAACCTGTGATTTATTTGACAGGCTATATGTCTGAGCTCTATGAATTAAATAAATTATTAGAGAATTGTGGGTTTATCACAGCTGATGTCATCATCGAAGCAGCTCCCAGTTATGTTGTTATATATGTAAGTGTCTAGCGTTTATGTGGGGAACTGGTCAGCTGGCATAAACACTTTCTTTTATCATAAGGCTTGCAAAATGTGGAAGTTTGTGGTCACACAGCAGTGTGTGACCACAAACAGCAGGTTTTGATGTTCAGTTCCCCCCCTTTTTTTTCTCTTGAAGTCCAACTTTTTATTTTTATGTTTTGTGTGGTTGTTTATAGTACTATTAAATGGAACTTCTGTGCAAACGTCCACGACACGCATGCACAAAAGAAGAACATAGACGTCGCACAGCAGCGTACAGCAGCGCACAGCAGCGCACAGTTTACAGAAGTAATAACGGATAGCGCCGTCTACAGGTCAATTTTTAAAGTTGTTGAACCGCCTGCTTCGGCGACTGTTTGCTTGGATCCACTGCGTTCGCGACGAAACAGTTGGATAAAGTGCGACGCTTTGAAAAGTATCGGATACGTAGATGTTTCTTTGGGTGAAAAGATTGCAGTTCTTTCAGAGCGCCATGAAAAAGTTGGATATTTGTTTGTTGTGTGAATGTCAGCTATAACATCTGGCATGCAGTATTCAACAAATATTGCATTCCAAACGGTTCTCTTTGATAGCGATTTTGCAACCGTTATGATTCACTCGGTTGATTATGTTGTAAAGCACACGATATTTGGTGTGGTACAAGCTACATGTTAATTGCCTTGGGAAAAAAATGACATTTGGGCAAATGATTCAGAACGAATAGTAAGGAATTTTCAGTAAGTTGTTACGAAATGTATTTATTTATATTATGATTGGACAATGCATTAACATTGGTATCAGATGATGTTAGTAACACACATACAAAAGCGGTCACAGCCATACAGTTACAAAAAAACTAAGTAATCGTATTAAAGACGGTTTTATCATTATTACAACGCTACCACAAAATATCGTGATAATTATCGCGATAAAACTTTTAAGTCCACATCGCCCAGCCCTACAGTTACATTTATGGGGACCTCTCTGTGTCTCTTGCCTGACTCTACAATGCACACACAGCCCAGGCTGCTGGTGGAAAAACTGGAGCTGCTGCAGCAGAACTGGGTCGGAAAATGTGGGATCTTCCAACCCAATTAAAATTGTTTTGTTACTCAGCGGAATAAATATGCTGGACTCTTTCTGAAACCGCTGCCTGCGGGGCAGCTCTGGGCACGCGCCTCGAGCGCAGCACCCGGACCGTACGGCGTCAGCGGCCGCGGAACGATCCCGAGGTCGGTCGGGTCTCCGCTTTGAGTCCGACTTCAATTTGGCGCGTTTGTGGACGGTGAAGCCGGCCCCGAGGCGAGTTCTTGTGGTTGCCCGCTCTGCTGTTGCACCATAATTTGAACAATGAAGCCCTCCTCCTAATTAGGCACAGTGGATTCACTGGGTTATAATTTTTTTGTTGCTTTGGGAGCCAGCATTCCCCTCCTCTCTCATACCCTCCCCGAGAAGCAGACGTTGACCTGCTCCGTGGAGTTGTTTACCCCTTCTTGAGACTGGGGGCGGGGGCCTGGCGGCGGCAGTAAACGTTTCATTAAAACCGAGTGTTTGTGGAAATGCTCAGACGCACTGGAACACAAACTAAACGTGACATTTCAGGTCTAGTTCCCCAGGATTTAGTGAATCATACCCACGCCTGCCGCGTGGGTCCTGACTGAATCTGACCCAGTGACTCGCACGTGAGTGTGCGTCTTCATGTGCGTTTTGGTTTGCAGAAGTGCGCTCGATGCCCAACACTTGGCAATTTGCTGCGCTTTCTTGACCAGCGAATGGCTGAGGAGGGTGACCGACGGAGGTTTTGCAGCTGTGTGCGCCAGCTGCAGCTGTTGGGATAGAAACATAACACAGAACGTGACGTTAGGGGAGGAGGGAGCAACACACCAGAAAGAGGAGCTCTCAAGTTAGCTATGTGGGGGAAAAAAAAAGACTGGAAAAAGCATTGATGAGTGTGTTTTTGCACCGTTTGTATTGGTCTCTTGCAAAGGGGTATTTGGTCAATAAATACAGTGCCTTGCAGACATATTCACACTCAGCCCCGTCACAGGAACAAAATTGTGCTGGACGATAAATCGCCCGAGAAATTATTGCGATGAAAGATGATATTGTTGTTTTTAGACATTTTTCAACTGATAGTACTCTAGCGATGCACGTTAATTCTCTCCAAGACTAGTAAACTTGAACTGAACACTCCGCACTGGAAGACATTATAATCATCCAAAATAAAACACAACAATTAAAAACAATAAATATTACACAAATAAAAACCAAGGTGTTGTAGAAGGTGGAAGGTGTCAAAGTAGACTCTTTTTTCTTCTGATATGCAAACATTTTTCTTCTGATATGCAAACAATAGCTGCAGGGGAAAAGTAACAAATGTGTTCGTTCACACCATGGTGGCAGCATCATGGTGTGGGGATGCTGTTCTCCAGCAGGTCGGCGGAGTTGATTGGAAGACAGATGGAGCTTAATACAGCAGAATCTGCTGTTTGTGCTCAAGCCCAATCAAAGTTCAGATCGAAATCCAACTGAGAACCTCTGGGTAATACTTCCTTCCCCTCTGTCACGTAAACTCCCCCCACTATGATAAGAAATGTGTTTTTATAAAAAAATAAAAATAAAAAAAAAGCACAGCGAGTGTAAATATGTGCACAATGTGCGAGTTTGTCCACAGTGTAGAGAACTTTACCATTACAGAACAGGAATCCAACAAGAAATGATGATTTAAATGGCATTACAAGCGAGTGCGGAGGTGAGATATTTCATGTTTTTGTTTTGAAGTAAATCACCTAAAAGAGAGAAACTGGATTTTAAAAAGCCTCTGGGGGAAAGACCACACTCAGCTGGTGGGTCTGGAAATCCCCCTTTCTGAGGAAATGGTTTAACCCATTTAGAACCGGCTGAATTAAAGACGTACTCTGCCTCTGTTTTTTTTTTTTCTTCCCTCCCCCCCCAAAATTGCTGCTCCTCTAATCGTTTCAAGCTCGCCATATTTTCTTCAAGTTCTCAAAAGGTAGAGGAAGCGCAAACGGATTCCAACTATTTTGTTTTTCTTCCCCCATGAAAAGTGGGCCAGAGGACCGGAGCTCGTTGCAGTGAGTGTGTGGATGTCTGCGGGGGAAGCAGTGAAACGGAGGAAGTCATCAGCGCAGCCAGGAGAAGCCGGTGGCTTTGGTGCGATGGTTGGATTAGAAAACCACAGCCCTGTTCCTGTCGCCCCTGTCATGTCGCAGCATAAATAACCGCTGCGTTTGTGAAAACCTCGAGAAGTCCAGCTGAGATTTGGAATTTAAATAAAAAGTTGGTGGGAATGCTGAGACGTTTTGGTGTCGGTACAGATCCACTCCGTCAGTTTGTCCAACAAAACTCCCAAAGTTTTCGTTTGAACTAATGAACATAGACAAACATACAAAAAGGGTCTGTTGTAAGCTTTCTGAATGATATAGTTTGCATATATTAAAGCTACTTGCCGGACATTTTGGTAAAATCAATCAAACTCACTTGCGATATATTCAATCACCTACAGAATGATATTTTATTGTCAGTTTTTCCAATTCCTTTTCTGATTTAGCTGAAGATTATTATTTTATCAAGAGAAAATCTACAAACGCACCCATACTTCTGATGACATCACAAAAGGCATAAAGTAACCATTTGGAAGTCTTTTTGTCAGTTTTCCGTCTCCATTTGCTTTTTATTCAAAAATACACTTTAAAAGTAATTACTTGTACGTGTGTACATGCATGTTTATCAGAACACATGGAATTGATTTGTAAATATAGACTGGAAGGATTATATTTCTTTATAAATAGATAATATGAAAAACATGGGTATAACTGCAACAACAGAGACTAAAATCAGCTTATTTCCGCTTAATGTAGTTAGAACATTAACACTTAATACAAGTGATTATGTCCAGCAATGTTAT